GCTAGAGAAGTTTATAGCATTTGCATTGCCAAAGATTGGCAATCCGTGAAAAGCGCTTTGGTTGCCCATTTCGGAGACCAAAGAGACGAAAATGGACTTTTGTTTGATTTAGATCAGTTAAGACAACAAAATAATGAACCTTCTTTACAATATTATACGAGAGTTATGTCTAACTTGAGCGCTCTGCATAATTATATTGACACTCATGAAGTAGTTCCGCAAACGAAACATATCAAGAAAACATTTTACAATACTCATGCCTTGAAAATATTTCTTGCCGGTCTTAAAGAACCTCTAGGATCAACTATTCGAGCCATGAAACCAACTAGTCTAGCGGAAGCAAGACAATATATCATTTCGGAAAATAATATCCGTCATTTACAAAAGCCGCATCAATTTGAAAATTATAATCAGCATGCCAGAAATAGACCTCAGAGACCAATTGAAAATTTCCAACATAGTAATACGCACTTCAATAATAATTCAAATTTCAATTCACAAAATTTTGCACGTAATAATCAACAAAATATTCCAAATTTCAATCAATACCATAACTTCCCACGTGGACCTATTAATATTCAATCTAGACCAAGTCAACCTCAAAGATTTTTAACGAACAGTCAAGTTTTTGGTCAACAAAGAAACCCAACTAATGTTTGGAGACCTAATCAACAAAATTCAATTTCTCGACCTAGACCGACGCCAATGAGTGGCATATCTCATGGCACAATTCCCCGACAAAATTCATATCAGCCTCAACGTTCGAATTTTTCGCCAGATGAGCTACACAACCTTGAACCTTACAACTACCTTCCCGACTATGATATTCCCGGACCTTCTCAACAATATGAAATATGCGAATATGACGACTATTATCCTGACAATGACCCTCAATACGCTGTAGATTACTATGAACACGACTCTGAAGAAATTTCCGAGAAATCATGCAAACAGTTAGAACACAATACGAACCCAGAACAAAATTTTCAGATAGTCAAGCAAAAAGAAAACCATACATAGAAATTAATTCAATTTACGATCGTAAAGAGCTGCCTTATATCGAAATTTCAAATCCACCTCTAAAATTGCTTATTGATACTGGTGCAACAAAATCATTCCTAAACCCAGAAATTGCCGAAATTCACTTTCCCGAATTTATAAGAAAAGAACCATTCACAATATCTTCTATTTTTCAAACTACCTCGCGAAACTTATGTGCCGAAATACCAGCCTTTACCGAATTTAATTGCGACAAGAAAATCAAATTCTATTTATTCAAGTTCCATAATTTTTTCGATGGCCTTATTGGCTATGAAACGTTGAAAGATTTAAATGTAGATATCAAAATTTCAAATTCAGTGATCAAAACTCCCACAACCGAAATTTCGTTACACATGTACGAGCCAAGAAACAAATTGCTGTTCTTTGCCCGTATTGAACCGTGTTCCACAGAATCTTTTAGAATTCCCGTTGATAAAGAAAATGGCGAAATAATTATTCCTGAAACAAACTTGTCAAAATGTCATATACCCGCTTGTTTGACCACCGCAAAAAATGGTTACGCCCCTGTAGATATCCAAAATAGAACGGACTTTGTTCAAGAAATTAAACTTAACCTTCCGATCCCAGCTAGACACTTCGAAAGAAACGATTTTGAAATTTTTCACGCTTTTATTTCACCTTATGAAGAACAGAACTTGAATAAATTTGATGTAACAAATCTCATTCGTACAGAACATATGAATAGTGAAAAAAAACATCACATTCAAAGCCTTTGTAGATCCTATTCAGATATTTTTCACAGAGAAAACTCTAAATTAACATTTTCTAATCAAGTGAAACATAGAATCAAAACCGTAGACGAAATTCCTGTTTATTCCAAATCATACCGTTACCCATTCATACACAAACCCGAAGTAGAAAAACAAATCAACGAAATGCTCGACCAAGGAATTATCCGACCTAGCGATTCCCCATGGTCTTCGCCTATTTGGATTGTTCCTAAAAAGACGGACGCGTCAGGTAAAAAGAAATGGCGCATTGTCGTTGATTACAGAAAAATCAATGAGAAAACGATAGATGACCGTTACCCCCTGCCTAATATTACTGATATATTAGATAAGTTGGGCAGATGTAAGTACTTTTCAACGTTAGATCTGGCAAGTGGTTTTCACCAGATTGAGATGCATCCTGAGGATGTTAAGAAAACCGCATTTAACGTTGAAAACGGACATTACGAGTACGTTCGTATGCCTTTCGGCTTAAAGAACGCACCCGGAACGTTCCAGAGGGTAATGGACAATGTCTTGAAGGACCTGCAAAATAAATCCTGTCTCGTCTATATGGACGACATTATTGTGTTCTCAGCTTCACTGCAAGAACACATTGTAAATTTGAAACAAGTGTTCCAAAAGCTACGTGATAACAATTTAAAAATCCAACTTGACAAATCAGAATTCCTGCATAAAGAAGTTGCTTTTCTTGGGCATATTATCACTCCTGATGGAATAAAACCCAATCCCAACAAAATTAAAGCTATTCTAAATTATCCGATACCAAAGACGACCAGAGAAATAAAAAGCTTTCTTGGCCTCGTCGGGTATTACAGAAAATTCATTAAAAATTTCGCACAAATAACTAAACCTTTTACTACATGTCTGAAAAAGGGATCTCAAATTGACGTAAATGATCCATTATACATTAAAACTTTCGAAGATTGCAAGGCACTCCTAACCAATGATCCAATACTCCAGTACCCTGATTTTTCTCAAGATTTTGTTCTCACCACAGATGCTAGTAATTTTGCAATAGGCGCGGTTTTATCACAAGGTCCTATTGGACACGATAAACCTGTTTCATATGCATCTCGCACCCTGAGTAGTTCGGAAATAAATTATTCGACTATTGAAAAAGAGCTGCTAGCGATCGTTTGGGCAACCAAACAATTCCGACCATATCTTTTTGGCAGAAAATTTATCATTGCTACAGATCATAAGCCACTAGAATGGCTTATGAACCTCAAAGAACCAAATTCCCGTCTGGTCCGTTGGAGACTAAAGTTGGAGGAATTTGACTACAAAATTGTATACAAGAAAGGAAAGAAAAATACTAACGCAGACGCTTTGTCACGAGTCGAAATTTATCCCACCGAAATTGACACAAATAATTCTGACGATGACCTTCCAATCCTCCAATACATTAGACAATTCAAC